AAAGTCCCTTCCCAACACATGTCGGGACCATGTTAGTCCACCACTGGTTCCTGGTGTAATAAAGGCAGGGCAGTGTAAACTACGCCCCGGATCGAAATCGTTTTTGCACGCTATAATTCGCGCAGCAGCGTTTAGTTGCACCGCTCCACGACTCAACGCATGCCACTGCCACGTGGGGAGGAAGAGCCTAAACCAACCAATCCCTTCTGCACGTAAGAATCTACCGACGATTGCTGAAGTTCATAAGCTTTCGCTGACAGAACACCCATCACCTCCAAGGCAAGGCCTATGAAGCACGCCTCTGATAAGCCGGCAAGACCTAAAATACACCCCACTTACAACAGGCAATCCGTGGCAGGCCGACCGATGGCAAGAACAGCCTACCTGCAAGGACCAAGCACTTAAGGCATCAAACATGTATAGTATAGCCACTAAGACAACCACCGGAGTCCTTAATAACGCAGCTCAGATATCTGGCCACGCTCGGTCTGCGCAGTGGTCATGCATCGTCTGCAATCCGCCAGTGCAGAAGCAGATGAGAGGCATTACCCACATTAAACACTACCGCTCGAGTGGCGTATATCATCTTCGCTGCAATAGAAGTATATTATTTGTTGCAGTCTTCAGGATTAAGAAGACTGAAGGGCCTAACAACTTACTCAGTGCACGTAGAGCCGCATCGAGAGCAGGTGGGGTGCGGGGAAGAGGGTGCGGGCAGAGGGGCATGCAGGACAACGATGCAAGCCCCACTACGTGACCGCACAATGAAAGTTTATTGATATTTTAAAAAGGAAACTGTTATTGGAATAAGAATTCGAAAGACTAGTTAATGCAAGGAATGCTGGGTGAAGTTATGCAGACGTGAGCAGCCTATGGGCAATGTTCAGTAGAGTGACCAGCTCGGCCTCTGCCGGATGGAAGCATCCCGCTTCCTCCACGAGAAATACAACTAACCGCTATAAAATGGACATATGCTGAAATATTTAGTTGGATGTGCTCCTCAGTCATATTTCTCCGGTGCAAACGTTTTAACTTGCCCTCGTGAACGCAGAACTCGGGACTTGCGTTTGTATCCCCTACACGTTGAGTGCAGGCTGAGGCTTTCGTGCAGTAATCCGATTACGGGTGAAGCGGGAAGCGCAAAAGCTTCAAACGCACGGCGTACGACTCTAAAAGTGGCCCTTCACACACTCCTTTCGTAATGGTTGTTTGCATTTCGTGCGCTGCCCTTGCCTGCCTTGGTTGTTTTCCCGTTTTAATCCCCACACGTACACGTATTGTCATTTCCTGACCGTTCCCCAGCTAGATATCGAGTTTGAACTGCTGGGACAGGTTGCGGTTTGTACGCTCCTTGTTAGCATCCGTATGGTTTGGTGTGGTCGTACAGTGCCTGCTGTAAAAAGGCCCCACGAACGCAAATATATCAGTAACGGGCATCGCATCCCTTCTCTAGTTATTACTGCCCTACGAACTACTAATATTCGAGTTTATGAATCATTAGTTCGGTTCTGGCTCGAGAAACGATTAGAGTCACCCTTCAGGTTCCGCAAGTTGGCTGGTGCTTTTGTATCCTCAGTTGCCCCTCTTAGCAGCGTCTGTCGGGGTGTCGAAAACATTTCGCAAAAGTGTGCAGAGCTGCTGCGGCTTTTTT